GCAACGAGGTCAACCCACTTCTATAAGAAGACTCTGTTTCTTCTTTGTCACTGCAAAGCAAAATGCATCTCCCAGTTAGAAGTGTATTCACTCAAAGTCGCCTTGAAGCAAACTGATACTGAAGGAATATGAGATGTAATCACTTTATTTGGTTTCAGATGATGAAGGAGAGGTAATATAATTTTCCCACAATGATATGAGTAAAGCTGATGTTCCCATTGAAATTCACATAGCCCAAATGTTGTTCTCATCCAGGGTGGACTGCAGCTTCGACCTCGTATAGGTCTTATCAACAATCCCAGCGGGAGTCGAACCGTGACATTGCAGCATGTGAGCTTGACACGTTAAACACTCGGCCACTTCGCCAAGAGTGCCCTTGGGTCACAGGGCAGATTTGAATTTCAAGGAAGGCCAGGCCTTTTCCCATTTACCTTGTTTGGTAGGATTGACGATGAAGCAAACGTATTTTTGCCATAATAATCGACTACATTACATATTTTTCGTATATAAGCAGTTCTTAGACTACCAGTGAATCATTTATATGAGTATATGGTACACTCGAAATAGCATAATTACGAAAAATAAGTGATGTTGCCGATTGTTATGGCAAAAATACATTTGCTTCATCGACAATCCAAACAAAGAATGTGATATGGAAAAAGGCCTGGCCTTCCTTGAAATTCACATCTGCCCTATTCGAGGTTGACACTGCACTTTAAATTGGATGAGAACAACTTTTGGGAAAGCAAGGCTATATGAAATTCATTGGAAACGTTAGCTCTACACATATCATTGTGGGACAGATCAACTACCAGTCCTTCATCACTTTAAACGAAATATGGTGAATACGTCTCATACAACTGATTCACTTGTAGCCTTGAAATACGAAAAGTGGTACTAAAGGTTCCTTTCCCCTCTTTACGGAAGTCAGCCCTTGGAGCACTTAGTTGGCATATACTTATCGGCCTGTATTTGCGCTTGCTACCATAAAAATGATGATGTCTTTGTTAACATGACTTACCTCAACTACCCTCAGTGGAAATATAGATGGGAAGACGAAGCTGATGTGGCCTTTATTTTGCTCGAGGTCCTTTGACATTTTAGTTATGCTATTTTACAGCGTCGGACACTAAACTTGGTAGATTCCCAGACGTATCCGTTTCCGTGACGCATCCCAGTCAATTTGACCCATTCCTAATGGCAGAATTTCTTTTCCGTTAATGGTAGGTTATTGATTCTTATGCTCCTCATTATTCCGATCTTCCGTCTCCAGTTGTGATGGGACTGGAAATTGGGGATTATTCCGTCATGTGATTTCTTTTTGAACCATCTTCACCTGAGTGACCCATTTGATCTAATGACTTCGACATCCTCCTCTACTTTATTAAGAATTTGATCTGTTCATCCATCTGGTTCATAAATTTAGGAAGTTCATCTAAGTTTTCTATTCCATGCAGACAAAGTACAAAATAGTCATCTAGGTATCACATGAGCCCTCTTGGTTGCAGCGGTGATGACTCAAGTATCTCTTCTAATTTGTCCATGTATACGTTTGCCAAGAGTGGTGATGCTATGGCAGTCCAAATATTTGCTTAAAGATGTTGCCTTTGAAAGTGATGTAAGTGGTCCTTATTGTCAATGCACCTGCAACATGATCCAAAGTTCGATCATGTGTGTAAAGTGGGAGAAGTGACTTTTTAGGCAAGCCAGGCCTGGCCCAATTCATTTTGCTTACAGTAGGATTGTCAATGAGCCAAGCTTATGTTTGCCATCGCAATCGGCAGCGGTACATAATCTGGCTGTGTGCTTTTACAACTTCATTTGGGATTTAAAAATAGTTTTGCTATTAAATTCAACGATTACTCTCATATTATCTGTAGTGGCCTAATGAAAGGTTGGAAATACACAGATTTAAGGGATAGAGTTTCCATCTTGCCCCTAATCCGTGGTGTTTAAGTACAGATCTGCATACACAAGTGGAAATGACCCAGTCGTACTGTTACTCATTTCCCCTCACTAATTACCCCTTAACCCCGGATATCTGAGATACCATTTCTGAGTATAGTCGATTGAGAGCAAAGATATCTTCTCAGACAGCAAATCCTTTCTATTCGGTCTCTTCTCTCACACACACCAGTGAACTGCGATCCTCGATCTTCTCTAGCTGCCAATCTTTTGTTTCTCCCTAGCTTATACCTGCCCCTATCTGTAGATCTACCCTGACTCAAAATATGATCCTTCCTCTGACTCAGAATGCTGCGTTTTATGATTAACAGTATGTATTTTTCCAATAAGTTCTGCATTGTAGTTATGTCTAATAAATGTTAATAATGCGTATATGTGACCATTTTTGTTCTAAACTTATTATTATTATTGGAACCAGTTACCTTGGGTCACTTGATTTGATAGAAGACCTGATGATTGAGCTTTCAACAACTAAATGATTGGCACACCTCAAGATATCATTGAATGTTACTTTACCCTGCTTCCCAAAATATTTTCTCAGCCTAGGCTGACCTCGGTTTCGACTTCGCCTGGCTCATTAAACTAGTCGTGCGCATCAAGAAGAACTCATTCAATTTATAACAATATCGTCGAATGTACAGGAAACTAGAGATTTATTTTTCGTGTTTGAGTAGACTTTCGAGACTACCAGTGAATCAGTAATATGAGATGTAGTCACTCTATTTCATTTAAGGTGATGAAGGACTGATAATATAATTTTCCCACAACGATATGAGTAGAGCTGACGTTTCTATTGAATTTCACATTTCCTTGCCTTCCCGAAAGTTGTTCTCATCCAGGGTGGACTGCAGTTTCGACCTCGCATCGGTCTAATCAACACTCCCAGCGGGAGTCGAACTGGGACAGTGCAATTTATAACAATATCGTCGAATGCACAGGAAACTAGAGATTTGCCTTGTCGTCAATACTCTAGTTATAGTAATGTTGTAAGCGAGAGGCCTGGCTCACATAAAAGGGCACATCTGCCCTGTGATCTAAAGGCAACCAAGGCTGTTTAGCGGAAAGTTGACGCGCTGCAACTTTACGCACACAACCCGGATTCGAATTCTGTTGGGGCTGTGGATGAAATCCAGGCAAGGATTAACTCGTACCAGATAGTCTTTTCATTAAGAAAAATTCAGCTATCATGCTGTCAAAGTGAAAAATTTAGGTCATTACTCTTGTCTGAGTTTGCTACCACTTTCGGTAAGGCAACCAGTTAATGTTCTTAGACTGAAACCTTGAAACGCCCTTATTTCTACTCTCCAGACTATGTGGTTACTTTCACCAGCTTCACCTAAATAGTTTCATATTGAATCTCACGGTTTTTTTACTCTTTCTTTTAAATGGCAATTCCAGCTGCTTCCACCCCACTCCATGCTTAGTCGGTCTCCTCGTGAGGCTTTGCTGTCTCCGAATTCGTATGTGCCTAACCTAGGGGAGTTGGCGAGACTTTCATCTTCTCTCTCTAGGCCAAATCGGTCTCATGCCCCGACGACAAGGACTCATCTACAATCCAAGTCAGAAACTGTCAATTTTGGAATCAATGGAGGCCTTGAGGGCGACTTAGAACCTCACCGGCAGCCTGATACTGGTCACCAAGTGACGGTAAGACGGCCACGTAGGCACTTGAGACTGCCACATTCAAGCACGTTGGCCAAAGCAACTGATCTACCGAACGAGCGGTCTCGCGGTCCCCTGGAAGCTCAAGCGTCTTATGTGGAAGACGTGGACGGCTTTTTGCCCGTGCTCAGCCGATTAGAGGTGCTGGACTTGTCTCGGAATCAGATACGTAGAGTGGATCAAGTGAGTCAGTTGTCACGTTGTTATGACCTGTTGAGCAAATAGAAACAGAGTTGAATCGGACTGAGGCAGTATCTTATATCACGAAAGGATATTAGCTAAAACAACGATACTGATGATCAAGTATAGATATTCATGACCACCAATTAGGCTTAAGGGTTAGTATGTCTTCTTCCGAGCCTCCATCGAAGATTAATCTTTTCCAAATAATTGCAAATGCACCAAACAATGCGTCTCATTACACTTTTGGATTCGACCATAATTGAAAAGTCTTATTTGATAGTTTTAAACTGTCACTAAGTTTTCCATTTATAAATCACTGAATTCCAAGTCATTGGAATCCCAGTGACTTTTGTCGCCAGGGTGACCTAGTTAAACACACCCTGTCACTTCTATTCTGCGGCCAATAATGGAAGACACACCATCCTGGTCCGCATGCCTTTGATCATAAATAAGATGAGTAACTGGGTTTCGATTAATCTCTTAAGAGGGCATTGCTGGGAGACTTTCTTTTCATACAAAAGTGCATGACGAAGAGATTCGTAGGTTGATCTTATCGGAAAGTGACTGTTGAGAGGTCAGGATAGGTGATTTCGTAACCTGATTTACACGCTTACAAGTTCACACCCTATTATATCAACCATAGTTGCTTACGGACTTACGCAGTCCCGGTCAGAGCTTTTTCTAGGATAATTAAGCCTTGATGGCCAGGCACCGACATTAGGCTTTGTTGATCACACGCACACACATGAGCAAAAGAAGCATTGTCAGTATGAACGATAATTAGCCAAACCATTCTATATCTATCTATGCCTATTTATTTCCGTTTTTAGCTATTAGTATATACATAAGAGGTAAACTAGTGCAGGATAATCTTCGTGGCTTAGTGTTGGCATAAGACTTCTACAAGAATGAGTTCCAGATCTGGCGATGCCCATCATATAATGGACGAATCTCAGTCCATTTTCACCCGAAACGATGTAAGATGTCTCGTGGATTGCGTCAACCCGAACGTAGTATTAAAATTAAGCGGATGCAGTACAACGCAAATCATTCGCTGTCTTTTGGTGAGATCGACCCTCGAATCTCTTCATGAGATGAATTTCAAGCCTTCCTAGCAATACCTTTTATTAATTTATCTAGGCCTGAGGGTTGATCTGCTCACGAATGATTTGAGCGCGTATTATACATTTTTCGGTACACTTCACTAGGCCGATAGTCAAGTGGCCAGGCCAAAAGGGTGACTTTAGACGCTACACGGCTTATGAACTGATCGGGGTATGCTATCGAGATATTAGGACTCTGAGTTGTGCATGGTTTCTTAATGTTTTTCGTTTATAAGTAGTTTTTTTGAGATTACCAGTGGATCATTTATGTATAAAGTGCATTCACCATATTTCGTTTAAGTTGATAAGGAGACTAATAGTTGAATTTTCCCACAATGATATGAGTAGATCTCAAGTTTCCACAAAATTTCACATAGCCTTGCTGTCCCAAAAGTAATACTTATCCAGGCAAGAACTGACTGCAATTTCGACCTCGGCTAAGTCTTATCAACACCTCCGGCGGGACTCGAACTATGACAGCGCAGTGTATAATCTCGACACGTTAACCACTACGCCATATTACCTCGAGTGCAATCGGGTCATAGGGCAGATGTGAATTTCAAGGAATAGCAGGCATTTTTCGATATCACATTCTCTAGTTTAAGGATCGATGAAGCAAAGTTGTATTTGCTATAGCAATATATCTCAAACTACCTTACTTGTTTTTCATTTATAAGTAAGTTCTGAGACTGCCAGTAGATTATATATATGAGATAAAAGCCTG